GTGTGTGTGTGTGTGTGTGTGTGTGTGTGTGTGTGTGTGTGTGTGTGTAGGAGAAGACATGGCAGTGCTGTGGTGAGAATCTGGGGAGGGAGTGGGGTTTGCCCTGTGATTGGACATGCTCAGACTTCTCACCTTCCACATCTGGGAAGCCAGGTAGCACAAGACAATGGCATGAGCCAGACCTATGGGGTTTCCAGACTTTTCTTCACTTTTTACCAGCTGTGGGGCCATGAGCAAGCAGCGTGACTTCTAGACCTCAGCTTGCTGATCCGGGAAAGGGGGTGAGAGGTGACCATCAAGATAAACCCCCATCACACCTGACACTGAGAGCTCGCTCAGAGAACAGAGGGGTCAATACTGAGCTGCTGTCACACCGGAGGGCAGGTCCCCATGCTGTACTCACCACTCACAGTCACCCGGGTCCCAGGACCAGACTTATACTCCACATCAGGGCTCCCTTTCCTGAACTTCACACAGAAGTAGGTGCCGGTGTCGGCTGGGGTGATGTTGCTGATGCTGATGGAATAGTCCAGGTTCCCTTGTTTTGTTTGATCTGTAAGGTTTCTCACTCGGGGGAAGAGGCGTATGTGGTCCAGGCCTCCTCTGAAATTGTAGACTAACTGCCGATCGGGTCCTGCTCCCCTGAACCACAGGGTGGGCCCCACAGGCAAAGGGGAGGAGAGGACACATGACAGATTGACCGCCTCTCCGGCTGCGACTGACGCCGTCCCAGGCTGAGTCACCTGCAGCTCCTCCTGTCCGGTCACTCCTGCAGGAGACACAGGCTGTCAGTCCTCCTGTCTGCGTACTCAGTCTTGACTTCCCTTCTCTGAAATAGTCACCACAACCCCACACACATTTTCCCTGCGCACATTAACTATGCTGCGGGAAGAAACAGGGTCACAAGGAAAACTGTTCTTCGGAGCTGTCAGACTGATTGGAAACCTGGCTGAAGCCTTTATCCTCCTGTGAGGAAATTTTACATGGAACTTAAGTGTCTGCAGCCTCAAGTATGAGATGCCTCCAAGCCGTGCTGGCTCAGAAAAGAAAATGAGGGAACAAGCGGAAGTCCCTTCTTAGCATGGACCTGGGCGCCACGAGGGATGAATATATCATCATTGTGCGGACACTGAGAAAGAAGGGGGCTTTTCTCAAATGTCATCACCAGCCTGAAGGAGACAGACAATAATAACTAGGGAGGAACAGACAGATCAACACCCAGACACACAGGGAAGGAGGCAGAAAGAGAAAGGAAGGTTGACAGAAGCTGCATGAAAGGGTGAGAAAGGGAACAGGAGGAGAGAATGAGCAAAGCAGAGGCAGGAACTGCTGACAGCCTTGGGGGTGGGGAGACATCACCTGGCTCCCAGTCTTCAGTCCCTTTATTCACTGACATGCATGTGTTGTTGTAGTTGTTGCTAAGTGCCTTCAGGCCCACGAGCACTGGAGGACTCATGGTGACCCCGTGAACAACAGAGCTGAGCCTGGCCCTGGCCTGCATCCTCATGACGTCCCACTGTCCATTGTAACAGTTGCTGTGTCAGGTCATCTCGTTGAAGAACTTTTGTACTATCTCTGGTCTCCTACTCTATAAGGATCATGTATTTTTCCCAAAAACTGGACACTCCTGACAACATTGTCCAAAGAAACGTCCAAGTGGAACTTCCTCCAAGACAGACTCAGTTGTTCTTTTACCAGTTCTTGGGTGAGTTCTCCAACAACATAGTTTAAAGACATCGATTCTTCTTTCATCTTCCTCATTCATTGTCCAACTTTAAGATGCATAGGAAGCAATTGCAAAGATCATAGCTTGGATCAGGCACACCTTAATCTTTCAATTGGCGTCATTGCTCTTTAGGACTTTGGAGAGGTCCTCAGGGCCCATTTCCCCCTTCTACTTTTTCATGCATGTGAGAAGATTGGAAATGCCATAGATTGAATCAGCTGAACCTCAGCTCTCAGTGACATCTTTGCTTTATAACACTTTAATGAGATCTTCTGTAGTCCATTTACCCAATATAAATCTTGATTTGATTTCTTCACTACTACTTCCCTAGGTTTTGACTGTAGATCCAAATTCAAGAAAATCCTTGACAACTCAATGATTTCTCCATTTATTGTTATGTTGTTTATTGATCCAGCTAAAGATTTTTGTTTTCCTATATTGAGATGTAATCTGTTCTGAAGACTGTTATCTTTGATCTTCATAATAACATTTTTCAGATTCTCTTCACCTAGCACTGTTGTGTCATTTGTGTATCTCAGGTTGTTAATAGGTCTTCTTGCAAACCTGACACCTCATTTTTCTTCATATAATTCCCCTTTTCAGATCATTGACTCATCATATATTTTGAATAAAGATAGTGATATAGAAAACGGTAACTACAATGGCTTGACACGTTTTTCTGATATTAACCACAAAGCATTCCCTTGATATGTTCAAATGATTATCTCTTGGTCTATTATCTGTAATTGGCTGTGATCCACAGAGCCAATGCCTTTGCATTATCAACAAAACACAGATATTTTTCTGATATTCTTTGTTTGACCAAGAACCATTTTATTAGATATGATTGATCTTCCTCAACCCATGTCTGCTTCAAGTTATGGCAATTTTCAATCACTGCACAGCTTCAATAATCTTTTAAATTACATACAACAAAATTTTACTTCATGTATTTTGACAATTTCCACTGCCCGTGGGATTATTTTCCTTTGAAATAGGCACAACATGGATCTCTTTCAGTTTATTGTCAGGTAGCTGGTTCAATTTACTTGGGAAAGATGAGTGAGTGCTTCCAGAATCAGATTCTTTTGTTGAAACACCTTATTTACTATTTGCCCAATGTTTGAAGCTTTGTTTTTTGCCAATGCCCTGAGTGCAGGTTGGATTTATTCCTTAAGTAGCATCAGTTCTTAAGAACCTGTTACCTCCTGACATGATTGAACATCTGCCTAATCTTTTTGGAACAGTGACTCTGTGAATACTATCTTCATTTAATTCTTGTCATTCAATATTTTTATTTTTCCCCCTCTACTGTCTTATTTACAAAATTCAAATACAATTTTGAACACATTCTTTCAGTTTCCCTCACCCCTCCAGCCATCAAATTGTACACCCCCCAAAAAAATTGTACAACCCAATGATTAATCCCCCCTCCCCCCTGAACATCCACATCCCTTAGTTTCCATCCTCTCCCACCCTCCTGAATCCTTATACTCATTCTACAATAACAGTTTTATACAATATTTATCCTTGTGGGGCTGAGTTACTTCACTCAGCATAACACTCTCCAGTCCCTCCCAAATTGGGTAATAATTTACAAATTTATTGCTCCTGAATGCTGCATAGTATTCCATGGTGTGAGTGTACCACAATTTCTCAATCCATTCTTTTGTGGTTGGACATTTGGGCTGTTTCTATGTTCTTGTGATGGTGAATAATGCTGCTATGAACATTGGTGTACAAATCTCAGTTTGTGCCTCAGTTCTCATATTCTCAGGGTATATTCCAGGTCAGTATTACAGCTTGAGGCTTGACTTTTTCCTCAGGCTTTTCAGCTTAAAAAATAGCATAGGAGGGTTTTTTTTCCCCTCTTTGGCTTTCTCATTCAAGAATTAGCCCATTTTATTATGATGCTTTATTTTTTATTACACAGGAACAGTTGGTAGTCTTTTGTACAATTGGCTCTTTGTCTCATTTTTTTTTCTATAATTATATTTTATTAATTTTCATAAACATTTACAGAGATTT